TTGTTGGCCCTTTTTGCTTTTTTTTTTTTTTTTTTAAAGAATTATTTATCTTAATTATTTAATTTGATCAGAGAGAGACAGAGCGGAAAAGTGAGAAAGCAAGCCACCAGGTCCAGGACTCAAACTGTGGGTGGCCATTTTGGATTGTCCAAACCTTCACCAGCACACCACCTGCTGGTCCCCTGACGTGTGTTATTTATTTATTTATTTATTTATTTATTTTGTTTTGTTTTAAGAATTATGGCACATGCACTCACCAGAATGTGAGAAATCACCTCACAAAAGGGATGGCTATGCCTCAATCTCTTCTCCATTTTTCTCTTGGAATTTTGGGCACCCATGCACATGCATGTGGCATGAGTTTTAAGCCGCCAGGTCTGGGGCTTGAACCATAGTCAATTATATAGAAGTCCAGCTATGTAACCTCTATACCCTCGGCTAGTCCCAGTGTTGTTTTTGTGTATTATAGTTTTCACGCAAAAACCTCTAAAAAAAAAAAAAAAGATTTATCTAGCGGCTGGAAGATTTCGTACGTTGCTGAACTTTCACATAGTCATCAACAGTTCGAGTTCCAGACTTGGAGGCTTAAATTCATGCCAGGCATGTGTGCGTGTATCCAAGATCCCAAGAGGAGAGTGGAGGAGAAGGGATTGTGGCATGGCCATCCCCCCAGGGGGTTGATTTCTCGCTTTCTGTCTCTCTCTGTCTTTCTGGAGAGCACATGTGCCCTATAGCAAAAACCTCTGTTTAAAAGAAAGAACTATTATTTATTTAATTTTATTTATATGCATATATATGTATATACACACACTTACTTACATATATGTGTGTGTGTGTGCATTTTAATTTTTGGTATAGGGCATATGCGCTTACCAGAGGGGGAGAGGAGATGTGAGAAAGCAAGCCTCCAGTTCTGGGACTCGAGCCATGGTGGGCCATGTAGGAGTCCAGCGCTTTAACCACCATGTCACCTGCTGGCCCCAAGTGTGCAGCTCTTCCGTGTACCTCTGTGAGCTGTGACACACTCATGAGCCCGGTGGTGAACCCTTGGGGAGTGTCCTGGTCCCTACACAGGTTCCTGTGTGCGCCACTGGCCTCTGCCACTGTGGGCAGTCGGCCTCTGCGAGCTCTGGCGGTGAAGTGCCCGGCTTCTCTCGCACATGTGCTCTCTGGGGCTCACCTGTTGTCCAGTGTTAGTGGTCTGCTCCTGCCCCCCATGAGGGACCCACGCTGGGGACTGTAGTGAGCAGCCTCCCGTTTTTGTTATAGAGTGTGTGCACGTTCCAGGGAGGGACAGGGAAACGAAAAGTGAGAGGACACCTGCCAGGGGCATGGCCATGCCACAATCCGGTCTCCATTCCCCTCACGAGGTCTTGAACATGCACACATATATGTGTGCCCGGCATGTTTCCCCAGCTACCAGGACCGGGACTCGAACTGTGCTGAACAAGCTCCTGAGAGCACCTCAGAAGTCTCTCTGCACTTGGATTCTGGCCACGTGCAGTGTAAACTGTTACTCATAAAACTGCCGGCTGCTCTTCAAGCAGCTTTGTCAGCGGCATCCTCTTGGCGTAGACTTTAGTCTCATTTCTGGCTCTGGCTGGCAATCCGGGGTGCTGGGTGGGGCGGCCTCAGTCGCAGGTTCCCTTCCTGCACCAGAGGACCCCATGTCACTGGGGATGGCGGGTCGAGGCGCACCTTTGGACCTGAGGTCTTCTTGGCAGTTGTCTGTCTCCTAGAGCTGTGGCCCGACAGTCGCTCTGAGGCCAGGTCTTTTTGACACAGTCCTGGGGCTCGGGGTGCTGGGGTGTCCTGGACACAGTCCTGACCTCGGGGTGCTGGGGCGTCCTGGACACAGTCCTGACCTCGGGGTGCTGGGGCGTCCTGAACGCAGTCCTGAGGCTCCGGTGCACTGTGTCTGGTGGGCTTTTCTGTCCCCCAGGTGTGAGCCCCACACCATGGCCAGCCTGTGAGACCCGGGGCTGGGCTCTGCACTGCCTGCTGGCCTGAGTTGCGACCCTCCGGACGCCAGTTCTGATAGCAGCGGAGTCTGTCTTGCGGTCTAGCTGTGGTCAGATCTTGGACGGCGGCGTGCGTGTAGGAGGCGTGCCGCTGTGGGTGCTGGCTCCCGTGTGTGGGGACTCTCACCCTGCACCGTCGGTCCTGGTGGAGATGGGGGCGCCGGCAGGCCTCGTTCTCAGCAGGTGTATTTCTTTCCACCCCTGAGCAAGCCTGTCCAGTGTCAGGATAGTCCCCAGTGGGATGCGGGAATCAGGGACGCCCGCGCCAGTCGGTCCCTGGGAGGGTCCCCTGCGCCCTCAGTGTTCGGGCCGTGGGGGTGATGGTGTTAGGACCAAACCCAAGATGGGAGGGCGCAGGGGCCCCATGGGGCAGGGAGGGGCTGCACCTGCAGACCACGCTCAGCCTAGAGGTGAGTGCCTCCCACCGCCAAAGAGCTGCTGGGGTGACCGGGCTGTGGCCGTCTTGGAAGACTGCCGAGGCGCCAGCAGGGAACTCCAGAACGCAGTGCCGTTGGAACGTTTAGGAGCACAGAGGGAGGCTCCTCGTCACCGTTGGCTCCGGGCTCTGGTTGGCTGTGTCGCGTGTGGGGACGCCTCCGGCTCGGCCCCTGTGCTCTGCCTCACGTGGTGGGGGGCTCCTCGTTGGGACCGCGTCTCGTTTCACACAGCGGCTGGTTTCCTGGGTGCCACCAAAGGTGCCCCAGGTGGTCTCGGCACCGCAGCTCGCTCGGGGCGGTGACTCAGGGAGCTCAGGCGTGGAGCTCTTTGGCTTGGGCAGCTGCAGTGCTGAGGAGGAGGAGCGGGACCTGGGCCTATAGGTGTGGGCAAGGCAGGAGCCCCGCAGGGCTGCTGGGGACGCCTGGGTGAGCCTGCACTGGCCCGAAGCCCAGGACTCTCCAGGGCCGTGGTTGAGGCTCACAGAGCAGGCCAGTCCCGACACTCCCACACTGGGACCGGGAGTCAGCGTGTTCTCCCGGAAATCTGCATCTGCCCCACAGCTGCCTAACACACCGTGCCCCCGCGCCAGGTCTGACCTACCCGCGGCGCAAGGCTGCTGACCAGGGCTGTCTGGGGTCACATGTGCCTTGGAGGTGGGTGACAGGGAGTCAGACTTCCCGTCTGGTGACAGCACGGCTGCCCAAGGACGGCCGTCTCCCTGAGCTGCACTCTCCCCAGTGCCTGGCCACCCGGCATGGCCTTTTCCCTGCCTCCTTGCCTTGGCCTGGGCTGTCACAGCTGCTAGGTACCCTCCTGTCCTTGCCAAGCTGACAGGTGGTCCTGCGGCCCCACAAGGGCACTCACGATGGTGCTGTGGCTTGTGGCTGCTGCCGAGGGCTGAGGCGGCCATTGTGCACAGACCTGGGTCCTTTACTGAGGCCACGCTTTCCGGGATGGGCCCAGAGTCCCTTCCCTGTTCCCCCTGCAGGGGCCCCTCCTGGCCTGGGCTCTAGGCTCTGTGGCCTCTGCCTTGGCCCTCTGAGCTGCCCCATGGGGCTTGGACCACTGCATCCAGTGTTGCCTCCTGCACCCATGGGGGCAGGTTGTGGTCTCCTCCTCAGGGAACAGCTGTGCAGGACTGGGTGAGGGTTCTTCTGCCCCACCCCATGCCAAATCCCTAAGGGTGATATGTATTTATTTAAATTGTTTTTAAATTAACTTCTTTAAGTTTTGTTACAGGGTGTATATGCTTCCAGAAAGGCAGAGCTAGGGGAAAGTGAGAAATCACTCCATGGGGGATAGCCATGCCGCAATCCCTTCTCTTCCATTTCCTCCTCCTTTTGGGATTTTTGGCATGCACGCACCCGGCATGATTGTCCAGCGGGGACCTGAACCACGTAGGCCACTTGGGCTCCCGCCGCCCTCGCCACCACGTCACCGGCTGGCCCGCACGGCAGTTTATAGTCTTTCTGTTTTCAGTTTTCCAGTTTTCACTTGGATTATGTCAGGTGAAAATGTCCCAGCCCAGGCAGCCGCTGTATCAGTGTGGATGGAGGTGTCTGGGCGGCCTGGGTAGCACAGCTGGCCCCAGGGGCAGGACACTGTGGATGCTGCTGGGGGTGTGGCTCGAGTGTCCCTCTCCCCGAGTTCCACAGAGCAAACCCCTTGGCCTTGCAGGACATCTGCCAACGTGTATGGTCAGCGTGTGGTCGGTGTGTGGTTGGGGCGGGCAGAGGAGATGGGGGCCTGGCCGGCGTGGCAGGGTGGGCAGACTGGAGGAGGCTGCGGTGAGGGCTGGTTCCGGCCAGACCCAGAAGCTGCAGGAGGCCAGGCGGGCAGCTGAGGCCCATGAAGGCTTCTCGCACGGTGCAGCGGGAGGTGCACAGCTCTGCCGTAGGCCGGCGCTCTGGACTGCTGAGGAGGGGCCTGGTGCAGGCAGGGCACTTGGGATGCTGTGCTGGCCCTTGGGATGTGGGAGGAGGGTGCCCTCAGCCTCAGGGCCAGCGGGGCCCTGTGGAACAGTGCCCCTGGGACTCCAGCGCTCCTGTGAGGGCATGAACGCTGAGGGGAGGGAGAGAAGCCTGGCCCCAGCCTGTCTGCAGTGCTGGTCTCCTCAGGAGGAGAGGCTGGCCGGCACCCTGGTTTGCTGGGGGGTACAGAGAGAGGCCTTCCAGAGGGGGCAGTAGAGGGCCCTGCAGCTCCTGGGCCATTGCTCCGCCCAGGTGCGGCCCAGGCTCTGGAGGAGCACTGGGGTGGAGGATGCACAGTAAAAGTCCCTGCTCACACCGTGCGGGGCGGGCGTCCCCAGGTGCCGTGGGGCTGCCTGCCAGCGTGCTAGGTCTCTGTCTCCAGCCTCAGGATGGCAGGCCGCCTGCCGTGAGAAGTCAGCTTTTCCTTTATTTTTTTCTTACTGTGAAGTAAAATATGGGAGAAGATGAGTTAGGCACCTAGAGCCTACCACCCAAGATAGGATTTTTTATTATTATTTATTTTTTTGGAGAGATTTTTGTTATGGGGTGCACGCGCTAGCCAGAGAGACCAAAAGCGAGAAATCACCTCCTGGGGTGACGACGCTGCAATCCCTTCTCCATTTTCCTCCCGGGATCTTGGGGACACACACACATCCGGCATGAGTTTTAGCCACCAGGTCCAGGACTCGAACCGCAGTCAAGCTACACGGGAGCCCAGCGATGTAACCATTGCGCCGTCTGCTGGCCCCCAGGATGTTTTACTGTGTTACAGAATCCACACTGCCCGATTGCAGGTGTTCTGAAAGTGTCTCATTTGGCTTGCACATAACACCGGAGCTTAGCACCTGCGTTTTCCCCCGCCGCCCTCTGAGAGAGACAGGGGCCCTGCAGGCTCCTCACCCTGCAGCCCTCCTCAGCCAGCTGGGGCTGCGGGGCCAGAGTGGGGCCCGGGGCCTGCCCGTGTGCACCATGGTGCAGGCTTTGTGCTGTGCTGTACCGCCCGCAGGCCTGCCCTGTCCTGTTCAGAAATAAAGATGCGACTCTGGGGTCCTGGCAAGAAGCTCCTGTCGGGCTCCAGTCCCCCGTCTCTCATTGTGGCGCAGGGTGCCTCTGTCTCTCGGGGGCTGTCTCGCACTCAGTCCCTTCATCGTGGTAGCCCCAGAGCGGCTGTTGTGAGACCTCCCCCAGGGAGCCCTGGGTCACTTGGGCCTTGCCCAGGCGGCCTCCTGAGGCTGGGTCTTCCCCCGCAGGTTCGGATGGCCAGCTGCACGGCGTTCCTGCTGCCCAGGATGAGGGTCTCCCGGTCTGTCCTGATGACTTCGACGACTTCATCACCTGCGAGGCGAGTGCCCTGGGCCGGCCAGGAGGGCAGGCTGCACGCACCCCCCGCTCTGCTGCCCGCCTGCGAGGGGCTCTCCCTGCACGCCTGCTGTCGGGTGCTGTGCTTGGGGTCTGCGGGCCCGGCGGCTCATGACTGCTGCCGGGCAGAGGGCGGTGGGCGACTGGCTCGGCAGAGGCGTCGCTGCTGCGCCCCGCTGACTTCCGGCAAGGCAGAGCTGAGGCCCTGCACGGCCTTCATCACCCTGGCACGGCTTTCTGTGTTGGGGCTGCCCTCCCAGAGGCAGCTGGTGCGAAGGCGACATGGGGCTGGGATCGCCGTCCCCGTTCTCACGGTGCTGCCCAGAAGGCCTGTGTGCACGGCTCAGAGCGTGGGTCTACACACGCCCACAGGCTCACAGGGTCAGACCCTGGAGGACACCACCTTTCGGGGTAATCAGAGCCACGTGGGCTGCCAGGGGAGGCAGAGGTGGCAGCCGCCAGCCCCTCCGTCCTGGCCAGCTCTCGTGGGGGCTCTGAGCTGCGGGTCCCTCAGTGCAGCGGTCCCAGCCTCAGCTCCTGTCAGACAAGGGAGCCCCTGTGGCTTCTGGGTGGCCCGAACCTGGCACACCACAGGTCACAGAGCCCCTGCCTGCTCGGGCAAGTGCACTGTCACATGGCCTGTCTCGCTTTAGCCAGAAAATCCACTTCTGCCAGCACAGACCCAGACCTGCTCCCACCAGCCACCTGGGAGGGCCGCTCTTCGCGCTTTGGTCCGAATCCAGCCAGGCCCAAACCTGGGTCTGGGGCTACCTCTCCACCAGCCGGTTGGGCTGCCTGACGTTCACTCTGCCCTCACCTGGTGGGGGCACCTTCAAACACCTGGGGCGTCCTGTGTGGCCGCGGGACACAGGCACGTTTGGGCTGAGGTGCAAGAGCAGGCCACCGTGACCTCGGACTGGGCCCCTGTTGCTGCGAGGCACCCAAGGCTGCGTGTTTGCACGCCTCAACCGCAGGCGTGCTACTGAGGCACAGAGGTGCCCTGTCTGGTGTGTCCCGGCCCTCCCCTGAGTCTCGGTTCCACCCTGTGTGGGAGTGCGGGGGCTGACCAGCAGCCCCTGCAGGAACCTGGGCCTGGAGGCTGAGCGTGATCTCATTGGAAGGGGGTCTCTGGGCCGGGTGAGGCTGTGCGGATTGGCTGGGCTGGAGTCCAGTGAGACATGTCTTCAGACGAGAAGGGCTGTGAGGGCAGAGGCAGACCGGGCAACTCATCACAGGGCAAGGGCCCCTTGGCTCTCCCAGAGCAGCACAGTGAGGGGGTGTCTCCCAGGAGTCTTGGGAAGGGCCCGCCCCGTGCCTTTGGAGCCCCGGCCTCCAGAACTGTGAGAAGAGACCCAGGTTGTTCCAAGCCCCATGTTAATCCCCGCACTGCCTGCGGTGTCTCGCTGTCGGTACAGGGCCCCAGGCGTCTTGTTCTCAGCCTGTCCTGTCCTGTCCTGTCCTAAAGGGTAAAGACACCCCCCCCCCCCCCGTGCCGGGGCTGCTGCCTGAGCGTGGGCGGAGCAGTTGGGCCTCCGTGTACCCCCAGCACAGACCCTTGACCTGTGTGAACTGGCCTGGCGTGGCTTCACCCCACACAAGATGTGAGTGTAGACCCTGCATTTCAAAAGACGTGGAAGGAACGGTTCTCAGGTTTTTAGATCCTAACTCTTTTTTTAAATGGAAGCTACATTTTAATTTTTGTTACTTTTTTAGAAAAAATGAATACCCTTTATATTTTAAAGGAGTTTTAGGTGAACAGAACAACATGAAACATTAAAAACAAAATATCAGTCTGTGCAGAGCTCCCACCTGTCCAGAGCTCCCACCTGCCCAGAGCTGGTGTGTCAGGGCTGCAGGCTGGCGTGAAGGCGGCATTGCCCCAAACCCCGTGGTTCACACTGGAGCTCACACTGTAAGAGGTCTTCAGGGAGTTCATAGAAATGGTTATTATGGGGACTAGCAGTTAGCATAATGACTATATCACTGGACTTCCATGTAGTCGCCCGCAGTTCAAGTCCAGACCCAGTGGCTTAAACTCACGCCGGGCACGTGTGCGTGCGTGCCCAAGATCCCGAGAGGAGAATGGAGGAGAAGGGACTGCAGTGTGGCCATCCCCCCTGGGGGTGATTTCTTGCTTTCTCTCTCTCTGTCTGATAAGCGCGTGCGCCCTACAGTGAAAACCTCTCAAAAAAAAAAAAGGATGGGGTGCTTTTATCTCTCTTTTTTAGTTTGTTATAGGGCACGTGCACGTGCTGGAGAGCGGGAGGTCACACCCGGAGAGTGGCCACACCCCTTTCTGGATTTGGGCAAGAACCCTCGGTGCCTGGCATGTTGTCCAGGCCACCTGGTCTGGAGCTCAGCCCCCTTACCCCTGTGCCACTTGCTGGCCTACTTTTTAATGTTTTTAGGTGTCACTTTTAGGAGACTGGAACTAGATATCACAAATCTTATAGAGAAGTTGCCTTAAAAATAAATAAATAAAAAACAGAACCCTGCACGTCGTGTGTCCTTGAGAGCCCGAGCAGCAGTAGAGTTGGAGGTGCAGCCCTGGCTCTGCGTCTGGTCTTCAGAGAGAAGGAAGCCGTCTCTTGATCTACAGCGGCTCCTGTCCCACCTGGGTGCTAACGCGGGAGCCCTAGTGTGCTGGCCCGCCGGTGTTTGCGAGCTGCAGCTGCCTGCCAGGGCCTGCCTGTGTGCTCCCAGGGCCGCCTCCCTGACAGCGTGGAGCAGGAGAGGGGAGTGCTGAAGGGGCGGGCCAGATCTGCCCTGATGTCGGGGAGCTCGGGGGCGCCTGAAAGCCCTGGGCCCTGGGCTCTGCTGGCCAGGCTCACCGAAGTGGGGGAGTCAGAGAGCACGGCTCAGGCCTTGCCACTGTGTCTGCAGAAAGGGATGCGTCTTTTGTGCAGACTCTTATCAGGAGGGTCAGAGAGTCCAGAAGAAAGCTGCTCTGTCTCGAGCCCTGCCTGCTAGCTGTCTGTCAAAACAGGCAAGGACATCTCCTGACCTTTGCCCCCTCTATCCTGCCAGTGCCAGCAGTGGGTTTAATGGCGCGTGTCTAGGGCGGGTCGAGCCTTCCCCAGCCCAGTGCTGTGGTGGGGTGAGCACTCAGGCTTTGCAGAAGCCCAACACGGGGCGCAGTGGGGGCAACGCTGCCGCTGCTGGCGGAGAGGACCACTGAGCTCTGCGGATGGAGCTCCCCCGGGCCGCCCACGGGCCCCTGGGCCTGCGTTCCAGGGTAAGAGGAGGAGGGCGTTCAGGAGAGAAGGACCCGGGCCTGGACGGGCCGCACTGAGTGGCCATGGCCCTGCGCACGCCGCCGTCCATGTCCCCGCAGGCCGGCTCCTGAGCCAGTGGCTGCCTTGGTGCGCAGCAAGTTCCTCGGGTGCACTTCGAGTTTCACATGAGTTTGTGTTAACATTTATAAGTTTTTAAAAATATTTATTTTTAATTTTGTTTATCATTATTATTCGATTTTGACCAGAGAGAGACAGACTCAGGGCTGCCTTCCGAGGCCTGTGCGCCCACAAGGGCGCAGGCTTGTTGGCCACACCAGGCTTCTGCCCGCACAGCCACCGTCACGGTTTTCTGGGAGGCACAGTGGGTGCGGTGGGGCTCTGCACACGGTGCCCGCTCCTCAAGGAGTCCCAAGCCCAGAGTACAAAGTGTGTCCTTTCTTGCTAGAACGACAACTTCTCTAAAACCTTTATTTGTAAATCATTAACTTCGGAGTCTTTTGAGTATGAAATGCTGGCTTTTTCCACCCTGTAGCTTCACCGGAATACGGTTGCCGTTACTTGTGCCTCGCAAGTGTCCCGGTCAGTGGTCCCCAAGTCCTCAGTTTACCCATTTAGTCTGCAGGGTCTTCCTGTCCGCCCCGGCCCTGCGCGAGGTGCCGAGAGCACGCCAGTGGGAGCAGAGTCATGGGAAAGGCAGCTCTGGCCGGCAGGTGGCGTGATCCGGGCGCTGGATGCCCACAGGGCCTACCGCGGTACTTGTTCTGTTCTTAGTGGCTTGAAAAATCACAAATAAATAGATAAATAATTTTTTTTAGAGAGTTGATTGCTTTGAGGTTAGACCTTGACTCTGATTCTCCGAGCAGTAGCCTGAATGCACATGCGGCCCCTGCAGCGTTGGCTGTAAAGGCACGGTCTTGCCGCCGCGGGCATCGCTCGTGCACAGTCGCCGTGCTGGTGGCACGAGTGCCAGCTCCGTGGGACCGCTGGGGCGCGTGTGCACGCTTCGGGATGTTGGCTTTGCCTGACTTTAAAGTTGCTCGAAGGAGTGGACATGGGTTTATTTTGTAAAAATGCTGAATTCTGTTGTGGAAGCCAGCGTTCCTGTTTAGAGAGATTGCGGGGACCGTCCCCTCGCGTGGCTGCCCGTGAACGTGTGGCCATGTGCCGTAGTATCTGGCCCTGCCCGGCCCAACCCCGCTCATCTCTCCTAGGTCACCGAGGTGACAGACAGCGCGTACGTGGGCTCCGAGAGCACCTACAGTGAATGCGAGACCTTCACCGACGAGGACACGAGCACCCTGGTGCACGCCGAGCTGCAGCCCGAGGGGGACACGGACAGCGCAGGCGGCTCCGCTGTGCCCTCCGAGTGCCTGGATGCCATGGAGGAGCCCGACCGCGGGGCCCTGCTAAACGGCCGCGGGGCCCCTCCTGCCGTTCCCAGGCAGGTCTGTGCCCACGGGGCCGCCGCAATTGCCTGTCTGATGGTTGGCTGGGGCGCGCGGGCCCCACGGAGCTGCCACTTTCCTGGTGGACTCCCCGCCCTACCCCCAGCAGCTCCCCTGCCCTCGCTGCTGGCTGCCTGTCAGGAGACAGCAGGTGACCAGGTTCTGTTTTACAGCGTAGTCCGAGAGAGTGCACTTGGTGGGGGAGTCGGGAGAGGATGGCGAGCGTGCCTCCTGCAGGGATGTTGCCCGCAGTCCTCCATCTCCCCTCCCTTGAGGACTCTGGGCACGCACGCACATGGGTTTGGTGTGTAATTCGAGCTGTGGGTCCAGGTCTCAAACTGGGCAGTCGGCCGTAGCAGCACACCATGGGCGGCTGGGGCTGGGGCCCAGGGGCGGTTTAACTTGGCTGTAGGGAGATTGCAGAAGAGCACTCGTGCTCTGGGTGGCAGCAGTGCTGCTTGGGGCCCCTGACAACGCCTCGCCAGACCTCTGCCTGGGTCCCGCCCACCCAAGGTGTCTTGAGCCTGTGCCTTTGAAGATGACTAAGGAGCACCCTGGGTGGAGCAAAGGGCTTGGGAGGGGGGATCAGGGAGGGCCGGTGTTGGGTGCACCACGCCTGCCCGAGTCTTTCACTTTGTTTGCTTATTTCTGTCTCCCCGGGACTCTCACCGGGCCTCTGCCTTTGCCCACACGCGAGCAGCCACAGCCACGTGTGTGCCTGGCTGGAGTGGCG